GTAGGTAGGTAGGTAGGTAGGTAGGTAGGTAGGTAGGTAGGTAGGTAGGTAGGTAGGTAGGTAGGTAAAGAAGCCTGCAAGTGGCCCATAAGGCCGGAGCTTATTCCGGTTTCCGTAGCATGAAGCGACAAAGGCTATTTCTACCCCAATGCTACTCCATCGCAAGGTTACCCCCAGCATTAAGTTCGCTGGTACCCATTTATACACCTGGGTGGAAAAAGGCACTGTGAGAGTAAAGTATCTTGCCCAAAAACAAAACGCAGTGTCCCTGGCTCGGGCTCGATCCGGAGACGAGCGCACTAACCATGAGACCACCTCTCCTCCCACTCGTTTTCAAGTAAGTATATAATAAATAAATTACAATATCTAAGGAATAAGCCGCATCATCCTTGGCTATTTTTCACGCGTATCCTCTATCCTTGTCGAATAGGAATTTGAAAATGTTGGTTTTCAGAAAGAACCTCTGAGCAAGGCGAGAACTGACAATAAACTCAATCCACATATGAGACCGGGCCGAATCGAGTGCTGGCCACATTGCTGGCAGACGAGCGCTCGCTCTTACGCCTTCGTCATCCCCGCTCCCAAGAGCGGAATCCCAGAATAGAACGTTTGTGAGGTAAGGAAAAGACCGAAAAAGTAAAATTAAACCAGAAATAAACAAGAATGATTACGACAGAGGAAAATTTAGACTGATAAGTTCTTATAGCGGAGCTCCCGTGCGCCAAAGCACTTGAGCGGAGCCCCATACCTTAGAAAATTTGGTAACCCAACGATCTAAAAATTTTGGTTGTCACGTGACTGTCCGTACGTATGTACTTACGTACCTACGTACGTACATACGTACGTACGTCGGTACGCCAATACCTCGAAAAATATGAGAGTAGCACCATTACCATGGCTACATCTTTAATTTTGGGCATCCATGTTATGGTTACTTGACAGCTGTCAAAACAAGCTATCCGCTGACCAATAACACGTGACCATATCGCGAGCTCAAGCCAGGTTATTACTCTGGGAGAGAAGGAGGGAGTACGTGCATAGACAAAATTTCGGCACAAATTAACCCCTTGCGCGTTGTTTTCTTCCGACATATTCCTTGCACAATCGTCTCTTGGAAAGTCCCTGATGTATTGCGTACGTAATTTCTGCAATCTTGGTTACGCTTATTGGGTATAGTTTGTTAAAATTTAACTGGACAAAAATTGCAAAACCACACACTGAACAATTACATGCTCATAATTGATCATTTTTTGAGTTTCTGATTCAAGAAAAACAAATCCAGTCTTTCCTTTATGGTTGATTATTGCAAACAGGAGCTCCGCTTTTAGGCCTGGCTAAATCTATATATTATGATGCATCGTTCGCGTCTGTTCCATGCTATCATCCTGTGTAAAAAATGTAAAAGAAGATGGCGAAAAAGTAGAGAGTCTATTTTGCGTTGCCTTTTCTGGGCTCTGCAGACATTGGTTAACCAAGAAAACCAGTGTAACGTTCTCTAGCCAATTGTAAAGAATAGAGAGCCAGTCGAAGGTTCTGTGGACTGCCTCTTGACGCTCCTTACAGAACGCTTACTTTTTTACTAAGCTCTGCCACTGGTTGAAGATCATCGTGTAACGTTCTTTAACAAATCAAAAAGAACAGAAAGCTAGCTGAAGGCCCTTCGATCTCTTTAGGTTCCTCATAGCTAGTGTAAAAGCGCAAGTGGAAAGTTTGTTCATTGTAACTGACCTGCTTAATGAAGTTTTCCAATCTAGTGTTTGGCAAACAGGAGTATCATCTTTGTATTCGTGTGGAGGGCTACAGCACTGCCCCTTTTTAATATTATCGATACCATCAGGTAAAGAAATGACAGCATCATTTTCCCTCCACACTCCACTTATGTATCTTCCCAATGAGCAGTTTGCCCATCCTGGTCCACTGAGGGAGGACTCCCAGCCCATCTCACTGCACCTGTCGTTTCCTGTAATCAACAGAAGGCAAAGTTACAAACTCGTCTTAGGGCACTGGGGATGGGTTTGTGATTATGCCAAAATGTTGTTCCGTGTAGATTTCAATGAAGAATTATCACTATTTTCGGAAATGTATTGACTCAACGCAAAATTAACTTGAACCATCTAATTTTAGACCCCTGAGATAAAGTAAGACCATTTCCCTCGATTGAAAGTATGTGTATGACCCAGTAATAAACTGGCAACTAGATGTCTCTATTCAGTGTCTGTTACATGTGAATGTAAGTAAAGTTGACCAAGCAATTATTGAACAGAGAACAGGCAACAACTGGGGTCTGTAAATACTACTGTCCAACAATTGTCCCTTCCAGAAATTACTTGTAATGATCACTGAATGACTGATTAACCTTTGGCCTCGACCATATAAAGTCAAATTCGCCCGACATGTCAAAGTATCATTATAATTACCTTGACCAGCTTTTTCCACTGCGTTTATTTGCTCCTCGGTCAAAGCAACGTCATAAATCTGCATGGCTGTAATTCGTCCCTTAAAATACCGACCATCATTTTCTAATGCGCCCATTCTAACGTTATCTTGAGTTGAAAGAGACAGGCCAGCTCCAATATTCCTCTGCACCACTCGTTGATCATCCAGCCATAAATTTGCCATACCAGTAATGTGACTATAGGTCAAACCAACATAATGCCATTGGTTTAACGCCAGAACGTAAAACGTACTTAAGCCTGGAATCATAACGTAATTTCGTTGACTTATTACACCGTACAGCTTTCCAAAATGCATCCAGAAATGAACAGCCCAAGGCCAACCAGTTATCTTATAATTGAAAATAGGTCCGTCTGTATTCTCAGGATACACCCAACATAACATGGTGATGGAGTGTTGAGCATCTAACCCTCCACTGTTTGGGAACTCGATGTAACTGTTGTTCTGTCCCGTGAATTGGTACGAGCCACCGGCCTTGCCATCAGGCCCAGGTGCTGTGCTAACACCAACAGGGGTACCCTGGGTTTGTCGATTTTTTATTTCCCGTGTTGCATGCTTGCTGTTCAGGGGATAAAAGGCGATTGGATCTGGAACTCTGACGGCTACAAGGTTGAGCAAAAACGAAGATTCTCAAACTCATTAAATTATTGATCAAGTTTACAAAAAAAAAA